GGAGGTGAGTGTGCGCGGAGGACCAGGGTGGTGGTCAGTCCCCGGGGGACCGGGAGGTGAGTGTACGCGGAGGACCAAGGTGGTGGTCAATCTCTGGGGGGTCGGGAGGTGAGTGTGCGCGGAGGACCAGGGTGGTGGTCAGTCCCCGGGGATCACGAGGTGAGTGTGTGCGGAGGACCAGGGTGGTGGTCAGTTCCCGGGAGGGTCAGGAGGTGAGTGTGCGCAGAGGACCTGGGTGGTGGTCAGTCCCCGGGCCGGGAGGTGGGTGTGTGCGGAGGACCAGGGTGGTGGTCAGCAGGAGGGCTGGTCGCTGTGCTCAGGGCTTCACACCCTGCGCCCTCCTGGGGGTCACTGCACAGGCCTGGGAGGGAGGCGGGGACAGGGGCGTTTATTAAAGTCATTATCTTCTAGAAATGACACGTTTTTCTTAGAACCATATGATTCAGTATTTATAGAGCGTGTTGGTCAAGACAACAAAATGCCCAGCACGGGGAAATGAATCAGGTTTTTTTAGAAACTTCCAAAGTCATCCACGCTGCAGGGTTTCAAGAAGCAGGAGAGGGAAGGTTCCAATTATGAGCTGAAAGGTCCTCTGAATTCTTTTTGTGGCCATTTAATGCGTCTGTCTGCTTTATAAAACGATGATGTGATCACCTTAGCATTCATCGTTTATCTCTTGCCTTTAAGACTGACTTGATTGCTCTGTTAGGAAAGCCTTCGGTGGATGAAAATCTTTGCAGTAGCCAGTGTCCTGTTCACATCTCATCTTTCTCAGTGTATCTACTTCCCTTTAGTTTTAACCATTTCTTTTCTTTTTTAACATTATTTCCTTTGATGTGTCCCCTCTTGGTTGTTTGGTTTGCTTGATAAGGACAGAAACCTTTTCCGCTTTCAAGCACTTTGCTGCAGCCAAGTTGTGCCATCATCCTTGTCAGTGGTTTTTAAGTTTTATTGTCACAGGAACAGACACTCTCTGATGCATGAACTTCTCCATTTCATCTTGTAAAGTCACTGGAACGATTTGTGAAGCGTTGATTCTTTGATTGGAAACATGGTGCTTCCGTCCCCAGCATCCTTTCCAGCAGAGATCGCCCGCTGGCTTTGTCCTCTCTCTTATCCGCCTGATCTGCTTTGACTCTGTGGAGCAGAACCACATGTTGGTTCAGAACAACTGGAACGGCCTGGATTGCCGCTCCCACAGTCTGGATGAACATTTCTGCCTCTTGTCAGCGCAGCTTTGCAGAGAACTGGAGGACATCAGGGTCCTCCATTCCTGCCTGGTGAGGGCTGCTTTCCTCCTCTGCTCGGGGACAAGGACATTTTCCCATCTGTCATTTTTTCATACAAAGAATAGGCTCCTGAAACCGTGTGCAGAAAAGACTTCTCTTGGGGACTCACGCTTCTGATGACTCAGAGTGGATTTGCACATTTTCAGGTTTCTGATTTATGGCATTTTTAGGTAAATGATCTCATATTTTGCATAAAAGCTTTTTCTAATGAATGATGACCAGTGCCAGTGGTTGAAAGTGTCTGACAGTCATCACACAGTCCTAGGAGGAAGGCAGGGACTGAGGCATTTTACACACATAATCTTTTTATTAAATCAGTCATGTCTAGTAAGTTTTACTGTCTGAACTGAAGTTTACATTTGTTTTCTTGTGTGGGGTCTTTTGGTTTGATAGCTGCCGTGGTCAGTCAGGGATTGTGCCTGGTGATTCCGTGTTAGTTGTGGACATGCAGGTTCCCTGTTCCTGTTCTGTCCACTAGACGGCGACTGCGGGCTGCTCTCCTGGTTCCTGGACTCAGCCTTTGCCTGGAGGTCCCGTTACCTCTTCTCTGGGGACCCCTCGGAAACATCTGCCTTCAGATGCATCCCCCTCGATCGGGGTCACTTCCCGCCTTGTGTCACCTGCAATGATGGGCCTAAATTCGGGGTAATTCGGGGTTCAGGCTACCAGGGGACCCCAGTTCCACAGTGACCATGGCGGCGTCTATGAGAATCACCACATTGGGTCCCCTTTGCTCCAGCTGCTTCTCCACGTAGGGCACCTTATTAATGAAATCGTGAGCCTTTTGTTGATTCTACAAACAGTTTTGAGCATTTTTTTAAAGTGTTTATTTTTTGAAACATTTTAAAAAGCTTTCCGGAAACCACCCGGATGTGTAGCATGTTTGTGTCCCATAGCTGCCGCGGTCCGGTCCGGGTCAGGCAGGGACTGTGCACATTGGTTCTGTTGTAGTTGTGGACGTGCAGGTTCCGTTCTGACCACTAGACGGCGACCGCGGGCTGCACCGCATATGTGTCCGACAGCTGCTGTGGTCCGGGTCAGACAGCGACTGTGCACGGTGGTTCCGTGTTAGTTGTGGACATGCAGGTTCGTGTTCTGACCACTAGACGGCGACCGTGGGCTGCACTGGATGTGTGTCCAATAGCTGCCGTGGTCCCGTGGTCCGGGTCAGGCAGGGACCGTGCACATTGGTTCCGTTGTAGTTGTGGACGTGCAGGTTCCGTGTTCTGACCACTAGACGGCGACCGCGGGCTGCTCTCCCGGGTGCGCGGACCCGGCCTTCACCTTCATTGTCCTGGTCTGTGAGGTGGACACTGGACACTTGCTCTCTGGGGGTTCAGACGCAGTCGCCTCCTCTAGGGTGACCCCTCGGAAACGTCCACTTGGGATTGTCTTCCCTCAATGGGGGGGTGGTAGGTTCCTGCTTTGTGTTACCGGAAAGGAAAGGCCTCGTTTAGTGGTAACGGTTAGTGGTAACTAATTGCCGCCCTGGAACCTGACTCGACAGAGACCACGGCGCTGGCGGGTCCCCCTTCCTGTTTTGCTCGAGATGATTCTCTAAGGAGGAACTCCTCGCACCCCCATCGTTGTGAAAATAATGACACAGCAGATGACGTGTCTTTCTGTGATGGTCGCTATTGAATATCTAAGTTAATATTTAAAAAATTTAAATTAGCACTGGTTTTTAGTATAGTATTTATTATAGCATTTGTGTTATCTGCATAACGCAGATTGTTGATAGATCGTCCACCA